GAAGAAACAGAAAGAAGATTTGATTCTATTTAAGTGTATTCGGTTTCAAAGATCAGCATTGCGGCGGAAAAAATATCTTGATATTTATAATACAATAAATGACGGAAGTGATCCGCTACAGTTAGTTCATCTTTCTACTACTAGATGGTTGGCTAGAGGTCAAGCTGTTGAACGAATCTTAAACCTATGGGACTCTTTAAAAATTTATTTTGAATTTGCTGCCTCTGAACCTCGTCAAGATCGTTATGTTGCTAGAGAACTTCAACAAATGTATAATGATTCGACTAATTTATTGTATTTTACGTTTTTATCACCCATATTATTTGAGTTCAATTTTATATACTTATTATTCCAAAAAGAACATGCAGATCCTTACAATATTCTACATGAATTGGAATGCTTTACATTATCTTTATTAAGAAGAGTATTACATCCATCATCAGTCTCTTCAAAAGTAAATTTGGATTTTCAATCAATTTATTTGCCAGTGGATAAAGTAGATTATGGATTTAAATTTGTAACTCTTTTCCATCGCCAAGAAAATGAAAGCATTAATAGCAAGATAGCAGTAAACAATGTTAAACTCCGTTGCCAATCATTTTTAATTAGAGCCTGTAAAGAGCTCCTCACACGTACATCTGATAACACAGACATCTTCAAAAGTTTTTTCGCCGAAAGTTTGCCTAAAAACTGACTGTCCAGCTTTTGCGCAATCGCCACTACATTTATGAAATAAATCTGTTAACGTTTTACATTTTAATTTTAAAACTGAATTCGATGAATGTACAATCACTAAGGGTTCAATTTTTTAGGCAAAACTTAAAGAATTAAAAGATTCTGAAGGAAATTTCATTTTTCAAGAGCTAGCTACTCTAGCTCTAACGGCATATAGTCTTCCGATCAGCAATATTACAGTCGAGCGAGTGTTTTCAAGAGTTACCGCTACTAATGCTAAGCTTCGTAATCGCATAAATCTTTCACTTCTATCATCAATATTACGTATAAAAATGAATTTAGAAGAGGATGAAGTTTGCTGTACCAAATTTGAAGCAAGTGACGATATGCTCAATTTTAATTCCATTATTGATGAAAATACCAAAAAAAATATTGAGGAAGAGGAGGACAAAGAATTACTATTGAAATCATTAGATTCCTGATATATGTATAAATATATTGTGATGTTTTTTTTTTGATAACGTCCCAGCGTCAGCTCTAGAATTATTTTATTAAATATTGAAGGCTGATAATAGCCAATTTAGAGGGTTCCCGCAATGATTTAGAAAGTAAAACTATTTATCTAAAGCTCATTCGAGCAATTACCTTGACTTTTATAGTCCAATTATGCATATTTTCAAGTGTTTCATTTATCATAATTATTTTCCCTACGCCAAAGTATTTAATTAATTCGTTTTTTTATCAATTTTATTTGAAGTCATGAGTCATTGTAATTATGTAAATTTATTTCTGCGTATTTTAGGCCAAATTATAATTTTTATTCGTATTTTGTGGCGTAGGATAGTTATTTATAAGTTCTTATTGATATTTGTTGATTTATTAATTTATTAATTTTAAGTAATGTAAACCAAAGCTAAGGAATTCATTTAGTAATTAAATTTAGTGGATAAAGTCTCAATAACCCAAGTAAAGCAGAGTTAAGATAAACAAGTAAATCTGTCAACCACATGGACTGTTAGGAGGAGAGTTAGGAGGCTGTAGTGGAGTAGAGGACCAAAAGCAACGTGTCACCCTGCAGTTTTCCCATGCTGGGAGACGTCCTAGCCCTAAGGGTTGTAGTCACGAGGCTGTTGCCAGTAAAATGGAACTCCAAAAAGAAGATGGAAGTATGGAAGAGGTCGTTTTTGAGTTTAGATATTAAGTTTTGGAATTAGGATTAAGTTGGTGCACATTAGTTTTAAGTGACTCCTTTATATGAAAATCTGGGAGAAGTCGCGTGAAGATAACCACCAATAGAAAATGTGATTCGACCAATTGAAGACGTTTTGGAGTAGAGGGAGAAGAAAATGAAGAGAAGAAAGAAATTGAAGAACGAGATTTTATTATGTATAATTATGACTTGTAATGTATATAATCATGTCGAATCATATATGATCCTTTACTCCAATTAATTACGTATGATCATACATAAGAATACATGATCATGTCAACTCATACATGATGTTTTTCTCGTTACTTTATCATGCATGATTATACGTGATTGTACATGCTCATGCAGAGAAAAATTTGATACATGTCCATGCATAAATGTTTTATGTATAACCACCTAGTAAACACTGTTACATTGTTGTTATATATTCACTATACAAATTTTATCACATGTTACGTTGCAATTATGTTATGTGGAAATTACATACATGTTTCTATTTCCGCCTTAATTATATAACATCGTTATATAACTTTGTTATACTACTGTAATATTTATATTCCATTCAAGTTACATATTTTTTATATAACTATTACATAAAATAAATAATTTTATTTATCTATAACTTTGTTATATTGCAGTAACATTTGTATTATATTACAGTTATATGTGTAATATAATTAAAACATTCAAAAATATTACAGTACGTAACATTTTTACATAACATTATTACTTAACCACAATATTCTTGTTACATTACTATTATGTATTAGTAATATTTATGCATTATTAATGTTACATTACTATAACATTGTTGTTATATTGCTGTAATGCATTTAGTTAATATTAAAAAAGAATGTATTATTTTATCCATTCATTATAGCTATCAATTACAGTAGAACTTATAAAACCATTATCATAATAATACTGTAAGATACTACATAAAAAAGAAGCTAAAAACATAAAATAGCAGATACAAAGATAACTGTTCATAAATTAGATTAGAAAGTATCAGCTATAAACGAAAGCATTAAATTTATATAAATTTTTCATTAATACGACTCTATTCTATATTATCATGGCCATCATTTTCATTATTTTCATTTTCATCATTTTCTTCACCGTTATTAATGTTATTATTATTTTCTTCATTATTATTCTTAGCATTCTCTCTTTGGAATCTCTGTTTAGAAAACCTGAACCATGCTGCAACAATTGTACCAAACTGACTTTCAGTCATCTTTTTGTCTACAGTAGTGAAGAAATCTGCAATTATGAACGAAATTTTTTACATAAATGTTATATTTTCAGAATCGAATAGAATTGAAATAGGACAGATAAAATACTTTATTTTATCGTTTTTTTTTACTGGAAAAATACTACCTTTGCATACAGTTATGCAAGGGAGATTAGGAATGGCAAAGTTGTTTCGACGACCAAGCCATGAACATTGGATACCAACTTCATTGCTAAATAGTTTGGAGCATGCATTTGTAATGTGCTCCTCTACATGTCTCCCTCCTATTTTGAAGATGAAATTTTTCTGAAAATAAAAGAATATAGCAGAAAGTGATTGGCAATCAACAAATTCACAGCAATCGATTATTATTTAAGTTTAAATTCGAAGAAATTGATATACACAGGATATGGGAAAAAAATGTTTTCTAATCTTCATAAAAGAATCAAATATATAAGAAAATAATTTTATCAATAATAAATATTGAAAATATAACTGTAAGGTATCGAAAAATTATTATTTATAAATCATTCAGAGATCTATTGCTAATGAAGTAGTTAGCATTATAGCCGACTGCCAGGCTTTACTTTATGTTATGAAAAGATATAATTTTAAAAAAAAGCTACTGTGTGTACAGGATTGAAATAAAGAAATATATTTAAATATACCGGATTTTAGAATATAGAACATAAATAGTATAACTGGGAAATGTACAAATTTATTTTCTCAGTACAATACACATACACATGTTTTCTGAAGAATGCATTCTTCAGTATTTCCATTATTTTCTCAATTAGTCAATGGAACATCTATTTTTTTACTGTATGGTAAGAAAAGTAATTACTTACAAAAATTTTTCTATTCATACTATTTCTTGTAATGTCTAAATGTATTTTAATTATTTCATATAATTATTTAAAATATATTTTAAGAAAAGCTAAAAATGAATAGCGATAAACTTAAGGATTGAGGTTAACGATTATTACTCAAGTTATTTTTTTGAGTTTTCCTAAGATTTCGTTAAAATAGAAAGGATTTCGAAGAATAGTTGAGGAAGTCATTTTTTAGATATTTTATTGCTTTTGGAAAACCCACGTGGCGAAAAGCAATAAAACTCTAAAAAAAGAGTACGTGACGTAAGAAGAGCGTTAAGCTTTTCCAAAAAGGGAAAAGACCATGCGAAGGGACTTGTGCGCGCCTGAAGCAAGGGACTTCTAATTATGTCACATTCGACTAAATAAATACGTAAGGTTTGATGCATCAGTCAGTCGTCGAAAAAGTAAGATCGAGATCAGATCGTCGTGGAACATCTCTTGAAATCATAAGTCTTGAGTATTGTATTGATAATACTTCAAAGTTTGTAAATTTTTGCATGAAGTTTATTTGATCGTCAAATTATTTTTAAATTGATATTTAAATTAATTCGCGAGAAAAAGTGAATAATTGCGCTGACTGGAACATCGACTAAGGACCAATTAATTGTAATTCATCTCGACCAGAGTAAAACAAATCATCTGTTGGTAACGTTTAAATTGTTGTTATAATTTTTCAATAATTTTCATTCAATAAAATTTTTTTATTGTTTTTATATAAATCACACATTTTTACTTTCTCTATCGAAGATCCCCTCATCCCTGTCTATTGGTCGAAAGGCTAGGACTAAAAAGAGGAACTTAAAGTCTCTAAGGTTAAGCATATGGTTTACATATTGACACCTCTAAAGAGCAAAATTACATAACATTCTTTTTTATTTAAAAGTTTGAATTTAAGGTTTGAGTGACCTGCATTTCAATTCTCTTCAATAAAATTAAAACCAAATTCTTACCATTCGGTTTTTATTTCTTCTGTTTCTTCTAACAACTGTTCGAATTTTTTAATTTCTTAAATACTTTTTAGAGGCAGAATAGAGTTGAATACCCCCGGGTTACCAATAGTATTTCCTTCAATTTTGTAAATATTACTTTCTCTTTGTAACAAATCATTTACTTTCAATGCGGTTTTGGTATTTTCCCCCACAAGAAAATTGATTTTCCCTGAAATGACCAAGAGATATAAATAATGATAAACACTATAGTAATAGAAATTAACATAGTTGTTCTGACTTCGAGTCGGCCGGGCGAGCAAACTGAAAACTAGTGGACTGTAAGAATTAAGAGCAGAATAAGAACAAAGGTTGGATGCTAGAAGGTTCCAAAAAATAGTTTATTAACACCGAACTGCTTGGGTTTTATAGATTTTATTCAACAATAACACTTAACATACTCAATAGAACTTAATAATCACTACATATAATTGAGTTGACTGTACCGTAATTGTTTGTACACGTATGAGTTGTCTAATGGTTATTTTTTCACCAAAAAATATAGTCTCAAAACAACAGTGAATAGCAACATTCACAGTATACACCAGAGTTGTTCGGGGGTGCGATGTATATGTGAATGTCCGTGAGGCACTATGGCGTCGACGCCAGTTCAGCTTCGCGCCCAAAGACACTACAACTGAATATACTGGACCACTGGCACTGATGAGAGTAATTTTGATGGTTCAATAATGTTCACGAGAGTTGACTGTGTATGATTGAGATTCTTTGTTCTCAAACAAAGGTGAACTGACTGCAAAACTGCGAATTGACTGAGTAATTTTCTACAGAGTTGACCGCGTGATTTGCCTGGAGCTAACTGACGCCACAAGTGCTCGACCGCGTGCTTGTTGGCGTCACTAGGGCCGTAGAGTTGCCTTCTGGGCCATGAGGGAAATACTTCCCGATTATTGGTCCAGTGAGTTGACTGAAGCGCCGGTGGACAAGTCCGGCATTACGAAATTTTGATTATTCCTGACTAACTGACTTGGGCCCCTCCAAGTCAGAACAATAGTTAATTCATAGAACATAGAATTCTTACTTTCCATTCCGTTTAACTGATCATAAATGTTATGATAGTTATTTTCATTAAAATTTTCATCTGTCTGCAATCGACCACTTCCTGGAAATGTTCTATTATCATTGGGACCTTTAACAAACCCATTGTTGCTCGATATCGAATTAGCAGATATCATAGTTCGATTCTCATTATTTGTATTCGATTTTTCCACATGATTGACATTAGGCTCAATACTTTTTTCATCTAAAAATTATAGAAATAAGTATATTAAACAAATTTATAATATCATGGGAAGGGCAATAGTCAAATTACATACATTTCGAAGATAAAAATTTTACCTTTATTCTTAGTATTCACTTGCTTGGTATTTTCGCTAGAATTTTGTAATACACATCGTTCCATTTTTAATTGTTGAATATTTCTACTTGATATTTTTTTGGAACGTTTTAGCATTACGTTTTTGAGTACAGCTGGTTTTTTAGATGGTCCAATTTTTTTGTTTATTTTTGATTTTTTCTTTGCCGGGCTATGGACCTCTGCTTCTGGAGCAGATGTCTTTTCATCAACAAATTTTTTTTTTCTTAGGTTTTCTGCATCCTTTTCCCAGCTTTTTTTCATCAGCTGACGTATACTCGGTGTCATCTGCATGTTTACGCGCTTCTTCATAAATTTCTGCAAAATCAACCAACATTACTAAGTAATTTTCAAAAACTTTTTTCATTTGTTCGTATTCATCGTATTTATCAAATATTTCATAAATTGAGTTACCAAAAAATCTAATATTAGAGATCTTTTCGCGGTCCCAGATATCTTTATTTAGTTCATTCGCTTTGAAATGTATGAAGAAGTATTTTTTACTGATGTAGGGGGCCACCAGCAATTTTTAAAACTCCCATCTTCATCTAAAATAAACCAATTAGTTGGAACTTCTAAAACGTAATTGTATTGATCAAAATTAACGACAGCAAATGGTTTAATTGGCCTAAGAAATAAACGAAAGAAATAGATATTGAATGATATTTTTATCCAAAAAAATCAATCATATTGATTATAAAGATGAAACCTTTTCTAACATGATATTATGATTATATATATGTGGAAAATTATTGCATACTAGTCGCTAAATGGTTAACTAATAAACTTTCATGTTTTAAAAATGATTAGTGATCGTATTATAACAGAAAACGTTTGCTGCTGAATAACATTAACTAGCCATAATTCTCTATTTCAGGTGTTCCCTTAATTATACACTATTTATAATATAATAATATCATATGATTTTGTTAATTTAATATAATGATGTGTATCATTATATTGATAATACCAGGTTAAAAGAAAAAATGCAATAGGAAATTATAATTACACGGTGTATTTCATCGAAAAAAGTCACTATAAATAAATCGTGCTGTCCACGCGCGCTTTTCTACCGAAGACCTCGTGCTTGGTCGGAACGTCCACACGAAATGTGGCATCCAGTTTTTTTTGCCAATATGCATGCCTATGAGTGTGCTGTGCAGGCCTAATGTCAGATTAACTGTCAGCCCTCACGGTTTCTAGGAACTGCAATTCTACGGTTAAAAAATCGTTCAAACTCGGTTAAATTTGAGTTAAATTCCAGTTATTTTTTGGTGAAAAAATGGTTAAAAACAGGATGAATAATCGAACCAAAATTCAGCCGTTTTTCCTCGATTAAAAACCGGTAAAAAAGCAGTAAAATAACTCGCGTATTTAACTGGATATCCAGGGTTAAATCTCAGTTGAATCCTGGTTATATCCCGATTACATATTAGTTATTTAACTAAATAAAACAAGTTAAATGTGAGTTAAAAACTAGTTGAATAACTAAAATATTTTTTATATATCCGGACGTATATAACGGTTAAATATTGGTTAAAAACCAGTTGAATATTGGGTGAATAACGGAGATAGATCTCGCGTATTCAACTGCAAAAAAATATTTGTAAAAACAAGTTAAATATCAGTTTAAAAAAAAATATATTTTTCAGTAAATAATTGATTTTACATCTACTCTCGCAGATTTAATTGATTTATAACAGCCTGTAATTGTTATAAAAAATGAAAAAACGTCAATAATTGTTGAATTTGAGTTTTTCTAGCGGAATCTCTCTAACATCGACAAGATGAGGTCTTTAATGACTCTGTATCCACTCCAGCGGATATAATTTGGTTTATTCGCCGGAAAAACTCAAATCCAACCATTATTGACGTTTTTTCATTGTTGATAACAATCACAGGCTCTTATAAACAAATTCAATCTGCGAGAGTAGATATAGAGTTATCAGTCACCTTATCTAGTCGATATCAAACATATACCGCCAAAAAAAAACTCATATCCAACAATTATGGACGTTTTTTTACTGTTGATAACAATCACAGGCTGTTATAAACAAATTATAGTGGCGAAAGTAGACATAAAATTAATTATTTACTGAGAAAATTTTTTTTTTTTTAACTGATATTTAACTTGTTTTTACAAATATTTTTTTGCAGCTAAATACGCGAGATCTATTTTCATTATTTAACTAATATTTAACCGGTTTTTAACCAATATTTAACCGTTATATACATTTGGATATATAAAAAATATTTTAGTTATTTAACCAGTTTTAACATTATTCAACTTGTTTTATTTAGTTAAATACCTAATATTTAACCGGGATTTAACCGGAATTCAACCGAGATTTAACCGTGAATATTCAGTTAAATACGCGAGTTTTTTTACTGCTTTATAACCGTTTTTTAACTGAGAAAGAACGGTTGAATTCCGGTGCGATTATTTAACCGGAATTTAACAGGTTTTTTCAGTTAATAGAAACCGCGAGGGAGCACATATATGTTATATGATGGCTGAAGTATGAAACACATAAAAAAATTGAAATAGAAAATTGAGTTCATTTTTGACGAAATAAAACTTTATGAAAAATAAAAATTCAGTTGAAAATTTGTCAATATTAAATAATTGTAAAATTTATGATGAATAATTAACGAGTTTTTCAAAATAATTTTTATGGAAATCAACCTCAAAAAGCTTAGTGCATCTTAATATCAATAGAACTTTTCTCCAAATATTGTTCAATATAAAATAAATACTATAGTTGATACGATTCATACATTATCTTTTCAGTGATAATTAGGTAAGTCAGAGTAAGCTCGATATAAAAAATAGTTTGTTCTACAATTGTTTTTGAACTCTTTAAACAATGTGTTTCAATACTTTATTCTCTCTCTCTCTCTTGTTACTTATTACGTTATTTTTTAAGTAAATGTGAAGAATTTTTATGTTTTTCTTAAACTTTAAATAATGTTATCATTTTATTTAAACTTTAATATTTTATTTCAAAAACTTGCTACTGACAATCATGTTTTTTAAAATTTTAGAAAGTGGAAAAGAGAGATTTACTCATTTATAGTATGCTATAGAGATATATCATAAATAAATTTTATTTATTTTTTTCAGAAATTGTTACACGTATTAAAAAATGAAAAAGTTTTCAGGAAATCGGTAAAGCCATTTTTTTGGCAGAATCAAAAAACTGAAAAAAAAGGAAATTACTTGAATTTTGCAATTTATAAATTATACCATTTTTTAGACAAAATTTTAAAATCATTGCAGAAATATGAATATTAAATGATTGGAATACTTGTATGGATATATGATGACAATATTTCATCGAAAAAAAAATTTTTAAAAAACGAAATCAGCAATAAAAGAATTTTAAACTCGTGTCAGGATTGAGAAAACAGCATTAAAGACGCTATAATAGTCAATAATAATTGTCAATAATATGGAATTGTGTTCATAACAATTGAACATTGTTACTAACAAGTGATGATTGATCATAGTGATATTTAAATAATAAGTTTTAAATTGTTATAAACAATAAAAATAGGGACCCTTTCTATATATATGAGTACTTTTAACGCATAATTTTTTCGTTTACTAAAAAGTGTTACCAACCGTATGCCATAAATGAAAACATACTTTTTCCGTGTATAACAATGAAATTTGTTGTAAATAATGAAAAAAAGGATCTATAAGGTACATTCGAATTCTTCTAACGCACAATTTTTTCTTTTACTGAAATAAAGTAACTAACCATATCAAATGAATAAAAACAGACTCATTTCGTTTATAACAATTCCATTTGTTATAAAAAATTGAAACGGGTTCTATTCAAATTGTTTTTTTATTTTTTCCACTGGGAAGTTGGTCGTGTGGACCTTTCGGGTCGCACCCAGACCACTGCAGAGCACTGATATTTTTTATTAAAAAAATTGAAAATAAACATATCATAAATTGATTTGCCGCGCTTCAATTCCAAAAAAGCGGCCACATCATTCAGATGAAAAATCACTAATTATTTTATTTTTATATGTTTTTCAGCCAAAATTCGCGTTTGCGTCCGTTCTTGCTACCTATCTGAATGTCAAAAAATCAATTTACCGTATGAAATTGAATAATTTAGAAATAATTAGAAATATTGTATTCCAGATGATTTTCTCCGAAAATTAGTTTAAAAAAATTTCGATAGGTGACAGCATTATGCTCGCAGACTTGGGGACTAGGGAACATCCACATATATTATTTATTAACGTGAACACTCAATTATTGTTTAACTATAAATTTATTTATTTACGATACGTAGAAAATTAATAACAAGTATAAATATAATTGCAAGTGCGTGAAGCGTCACAAGCCTGATAAATACTGAATACTCTCACGCCCGTACGGCGATTGCAGAAACTCTTGAGCTTGTGGGTGTGCCGCGCCGGTAACTGTCCAATTTACCAACTAGCGGTTCCCCACACCACCCCCCTCCTAGTGAAGGCAAGGCGGCAGAGATCTCATGGATTTGATTTTTAGAGAGATCTATGTTGACTCTCTTCTTCTTCTTGGCAGGATACGTCCGTAGAGATGAAGAAAACGTTGTCTGACAGGGTTGAAGGCTTGATGGCTGAGGTAGGTCTCGTTGTTGAAGTAAAGTAGGTTGACTCGCAGTCTTTGACTGCTGAGCAGTACTTGTCTGTTGGGAGGTACTTGGGATTGGGTCCAAATTTGATTGTTGAAACTGATTAGTCTGCTGTAAGGCACTAGGTTGATTTGGAGGCCGATCCGGAGGTTGATCTGAAGTGTTGAAAACGTCATCAGTTGCTAAATGTGCTGGTTTGGGACGTTCAACGTTTACCACTGTTTCTTTGCCGTTTAAATTGATAAAAAAAATGCGGTCATCCTCCAATCTCTTGATAACTTCATGAGGACCTGAGTAGGGTTGCTCCAACGGTCTCTTGACACCGTCTACTCTGAGAAAAACATGTGAGCAGGTATACAAATCTTTGTAACAGAAGGTTTTCTGTTTACAATGATGAGCAGCAGGAACTGGCTTGACGTTTCTCATATGAACTCGGAAGTCTTCTAAGAAAAGGTTAGGATCTTCTGGCGGATCTTCGTGCGTGAAGAATTTTCCTGGAATTCTAAGTGTCGACCCATATAAAAATTCGGCCGGCGAGGCCTTTAACTCTTCTTTGTAGCACGTTCGCAGGCCTAAGAGAACTGTAGGCAGCACTTTGGTCCAGTGAGGATTCTGGTGGCACATGATAGCTGCCTCCATTGTACAGTGCCATCGCTCTATTAAACCATTGGCAGGTGGATGATAAGCAGTGGTACGGATGCATTTGCCACCAACTAGGTTAAGTAAAGAAGTATATAAGGCGCTTTTAAATTGAGAACCTTGATCTGTGGTTACTATCTTGGGACATCCAAATCGGGCGATCCAATGAGTAAAGAAAGCATTTGCGAGCGTGTCAGCTGTGATGTCTTTAACAGGTATGGCTTCAGG